TTGGGCACAAATGGTGCCTAAACTCAGCCTCAGGGTTGTTTTGGGCTCTGCATTCCTGGGGCAGCTCAATGCAGTCGTGTTCTACAGAGAGAAGGGTAAAAATGTGCACTTAGATGTCTTTACCTTGTAACAAATGGCATCAAATGTTCCCCAAAATACGTTTCTCTTTTATTTTGAAAGCTGGGACTAACATTGGTAATTGTAGAAATGGGTAAACTCACTTGTTTGGAACATTTATGGCTATAAAAGGATGCTTAGTGTTGGCACAGCTCACTTGTTTCCCAAATACAAATATTAATTATCCATTCAGTGGAGCCTCAATAAGAGGGTATTTCCATGTGCTGTGGAGGAACAGAAAAAAACCCAAACTAATTCCAGAATTAAATTAAGTTTAATATAAAAAAATTAAAATTCCAAATCCCAGAATGAGAATGGGTCTGGTAGAAAATATTTACTCCCACTTTTATACCTTATCTCTGACATAGCAGAACACATGGAGACCTGGGGTGAAAGGCTGCCTTGCACACTTGTACTCTCAGCAAACACTTATTTATAGCAGTTTCCTTATGATGAGTAGTGAAAAAATTCCTGATGTCCTCTCATGTCCCCCAGAGTTGAGATTTGCTTGAACTAAATACAAAAGATGTGGAAGAACTAGAAAAATAACCCCATCTGTTCAGCAGTTCCTGTGATCTGCCTTTGTGGGGGCTGCTCTGTGTGGGTTTGGGGTGAGAGCAGAAGCCAGGTCTGTGTCTGTGCTCCTGCCTGACCCTCCCAGTGCCCTCCCAGAGCCCTCTCAGTGTCCCAGGCCAGACTCTCACTCTGCCCCAGCCTCTCCCTGTTTTCCTGGCTTAGAGAACATGGGGAGCTGCCAGGGCTCTTCCAAAGAAAGCTGCTTGTGAGGCATCCAGCCTGATTTATTGATATATCATTTTTAAAATTTCATCTCTATTGTGTTTCCATGGTGCTGAATTTTTACCTTTATAACTTTATCCTGTGGGTTCTCTGCGAGCGAACATTATTGGTGTGGGAGTCAGCTCCAGACACAAGCCTTGCATCATTACTTTATGTTTAATAAAACAGGAGCTCCAGATTTTGCTGTCATTAACACTCTGCTCAGTTTTGTCCCCCTCCCTTTTTCTCTCTCCTTTCTAGTTTTTTTTTTGTGTTGCCCCAGGGCATGTGGAATTCTGCAGTTCCTGCATCTCAAAGGCATATGGTGCTGATGGGTTTGCACATATGCTTTAAAAGTACTATAATACCAAAAATATTCAAACATTATAATAGAATATAGGATTATTTCCAGGTTCTAGAGTAATTGAAAATGCCAAACTTGAAAAGGAAGAAAAATTTAAATGAGAGTCCCACCTTCCTCAGTCTGCAGTGAGAGGATGGCATTGGATTTTGGGTTCGTCAAATATGTAAGAAAAGTCCAAATGAGAGCAGATTTAATTGTGCTGTTTTGAATTGTGCCATCCTGTTTTAGCTGAAGTTGCTGTGATTGTGATTAAGCCATTCCTCAAAAGGATTTGTTTTGTTTTCTTCTGCCTTCGTTCTTTGTGTCTTATTATGACTTCAGTCAGCTCTTGTGATTAGAGCGATTGTACTGCGGGCTCGGAGATGTCAGAGGCAAAGCAGCAGAAACAAAGCAAGAAAAGCAACGCCCTTGCCCTTGCCAAGTGAAATCAGTGGGAGCTCTGTGTGCTCCAGAGAAGCTGAGCTGCCCCAGGATCCATGGCAGTGTCCCAGGGACACCCCCAGGACGGGGCTGGGAGCACCCTGGGGTACTGGGAGGTGTCCCTGCCATGGCAGGGGTGGCACTGGGTGCTCTTGAAGCTCCTCCCAAGCCAAACCACTCTGTGATTCCGTGATTCACGCCTTCTTCTTGCCAGGCCTGATGAGTTCTGTGCCACATTGCTCTGCTTTCAGGGATTGCATGGGGCCATACTTTTGCCCACAATGATTGTCTCTAAAGAGCCTAAAAGATCTCCTCTGGCTCAGACCTTAGGCTGTGCAGGGATGAATTTATATAGCTGGTACCTCTGCTTCCATTGTAATAGATGTTTCAAGATTTATTCTAGCTGAAGGGATTCTTGGGCTCTGCAGATTTCTATTTTTTGTAATTTCATAGAGACTATTAACTTCTGAATGAAACCTTTCTCAGTTACTAGTTTAATCTTTGCTATGATATTTTTTCTGGTGGTGAATGCTGCCCACACACAGGAAGACACAATTCTGCCCTAGACAGCTCTCAATATAAACTTAAAAGTGTATAAAGAACATGCATGCAAAGGGCAGCACTTTAATTGCTGGAACTGCCAAGAATGCAGCTCAGCTAGAGGAGCAGGCAATGCTCAGAGGGTGGGATTAGCCTTGTTTGTCTGGACATCAGAATCAAATGTTGTTTAAAGTTGTAAATGAAGAAGAAATGGATCATGTCCTTATGATCTCACTAGGAAAGCTCGGCGGTCACACCCCAGGTCAGAATCTCTCTCTTGTATTTTCACAGACAAACTTCTGCCTTTTTTTCTTACCCCACCTAAAAATTACAGAAGGTATTCATTCACACATTAGGCTTTCTGATCTCTGGTGTGCACTATGGAGGTGCAAAGTATCACTATAGCAGCATAATTTATCAGCATTAAAATCTCTGACATCTCATTCTCCCAAGGAAGCTGGCACTGAAAATGGAAAATGGCTGCGTGTGATCTCCTTCTGGTGGCAACAAATGTAAAAACAATGGCAAACAGAAGTAATGTCTCGCTATAACCCTAAATTCTAATTTCCAAATCCTGCATTAATCATGGAACAGTTGTGGAGATGTGGAATACACAACTGAGGGAGAAAATGTCAGCGTTGGTTGTAGAAGGCATTTGGGTTTTTCCTTATCAATGCCCTGCCCAGAGCTCAGAGCTATTCCTGGATGGAAGAAGGGCTTGATAAAATGAGGACATATTTGTGGGTGGGCTGGCAGTGGTGAAGGAACCCCAGTCTCTCATTCCTGGGCCAGAACCTTCTCACCAGCAGAGTTTAGGGCAGTATCAGGTGTTTGGCCAGTTGTATACCTTGAATTTTCCCTTCACAGCAAATATTGGCCAGTGTCCGTAGCAGGCAGCCAGGGCCTGGTCCAGTCAGAGGAGCAAGAGCATGGGGAGTTGATAGGGTGAGTGTGGGGCTGATACCACGGTGAGACAAACAGTGTGGGGCTGATACTGCACTGATACCATGAGTGTGGGGCTGATACTGCACTGATACCATGAGTGTGGGGCTGATACTGCACTGATACCATGGGTATGGGGCTGATACTGCACTGATACCATGAGTGTGGGGCTGATACTGCACTGATACCATGGGTATGGGGCTGATACCACGCTGATACCATGGGTAGGAGGCTGGCTACGGTCTGAGTATTGAGGGAAATATCTTAACAATGCTCTAGATAATGCAAATCCTCAAATTTGCTTTTCACAGCCGTGTTTCTCTGTACTATAAAATTCTCTACAGGTATTTCTCAGGGACAGAACCCTTTTGAAAAGGCCTTTGTTATCTCCCACGTTGGCTTTGTGCAGTGTGACAGAGTGTACAATGTGATGGCCCGTGTGTTATACCTCCTGCTATTTCAGTCATGCAAATAGCTCCGGGAGAAATATTCAGTCCACACAGATGCATGTTACATAGCTCGTTTGTAAGTAAAGTGGCACTTGATAAATGTGAAACACCTTTGGTTATCTAGATGTTTGAAATTCTTGGTGCACTTACGAACAGGGAAGTCACTTCCATAATAAGAGCCACACAGAGTGCCCAGGGAGATTTTGCAGCTTGAGAAAGACATAATGTGAGCCGTGAATACCCGAGGTGGGGAAGGAGTGTTTAAATGGCATGAACAAATGACAGGCTCCATAGAAGTTAGACTGTGATTATCGCCCTGCAAGACGTATTAAAGGTATTCATTTGTAAAAGTGAGCTGCTAAGGATCCATTCCTGTGTGCTGAGTGGAGAAACTCCCGAGGCTCCTGCCTGGAGCAGGGGGTGCGCTGTGGGCACGGCTGGGATGCTGCTCTGGTACTCACACGTGTCAGGAGCTGGGCTGTCTCCCCCTTTCCCGGGGCTGGGGAAGGGAAGTGGCGTGTGCAGAACCTCAGTTCTGCGGGGATTTGCTGAGCTGTTCGTGTGAAGCTGATGTGTTTCTTGAGTGTGATGGTCCAGAGAAGGAACACGCCTTCAGGCTTCACCCCAAAATCCTGGTTTCTCTTTAAAATGCCCCCCACTTTCCCTGGCCAAAGTGCTTGACCCTCTCGCACCATTCTCATGCACTGTAGGTGCCGGCCAGCACAGTAGTACAACGCTTTTATTGCCTTATTTAGCGGAGAGATTAAATGTAATGTTCAGATTATGTAGAACATTAACTCCTAACAATAAGCAAATAACACATTAGAAGCTTTGCTATTAAAACGTTTGGTGCTGGAGCTCTCCAGGAGCCGTGACTGGTGTTCCGTGAGGGAGGAGAGGAAGGAGCGAGCCGGGGTCTCTCCTGGACGGTGGTGCCGGTGCCCCGAGCCCACGGGCGCGGTTCGGACGGGCTCTATGGAGCTCCATCCGTGTCAGCGCCGCAGCTGAGCCCGGCTGTGCCGGCCATGGCCGCGGGCCCGGGGGGCTCGGAGCAGGTACCGGGGCCCGCCGTGCCCGTGTGCCCGCCGTGGGTGGCGCCCGGGCCGGGGCCGCGGGCAGCCCCCGCTGCCGCCGGAGCCGCCGTGTGCCAGGCTCGTCTGTCAGACGGGTTTATGGGAGCCGATGGTTGCCAGGGCAACGCAGGCTTCGGGGAGTCTGGCGCGCCGCAGCCCGGCCGGCCCCGCCGGCAGCAGATGTTGGCTGACGCCGGGCGCTGCCAGCGCCGCTCATGCGGGAGCTGCCCAGGGCGCTGTGCCCGCTGCTCGGGCGGCTCCGCTCCCGCTCCCCGCTCCCCTTGCATTGTAATTTAGTATTCTTGTCTCACCCCACAGGGGTTCCTCAGCCGTCGGCTCAAAGGCTCCATCAAAAGGACAAAGAGCCAACCGAAGCTCGATAGGAACAGCAGCTTCCGGCACATTTTACCTGGCTTCAGGAGCGTGGACCATGAAAGGTAAGGGCGCGTTTCGCGGAGGGCGTGGGAGAGAGGAGAATTTTGATTTTTCCAGCTCTTGTTAAGATCTTGCTTATCTTATTCAGAGCAAGGGCTGCGTCTCTGATAGAAGTAGACTTGCTTAATTGCAAGAGGGGTAGTTTTAATTTGTTGTTGAGGGTACGGTGCAAGCCCTCCCTTTTCAGGGTAAATTCCAGGTGCAGAGAAGCCTGACTGCTCTGCTTTCTTTTCCCCAATATAAATCCTGAATTGAGGCACCAGCGTATAAATAGCACCGAGATGCAGCAGCCAAAGCCGACTGATGCAGGTGAGGGAGGGAGGGGAGGGATGCTCCCGCACTGGACTGCGCCGATCACAGCTGGGTTACACACGGTAGGAACAATACCGTGGAACAATAACAACCATAATCTCCCCAAATCCCCGTCTCCCCTCACACACATCCGTCTCCATCCCGCCTTGGCTGCTGTCATTACACCGAGATGGAGCCTCGGCTGTGGCCGGAGCTGCTGCTCCTGCCCGAGCCATGACAGGAGCTCAGCCCAGGAGGAATGTGTTGCAGGGAATGTGCAGATGGATCTGATAAAGCATTTCACGTGGGATGGGCAGTATTGGAGCAAATTGCGAGTAAAATAGAAGAGAAATGAGATCTTTGAGATTCTTCAGCTGGTTAGAAAGTAGAACAGCTCTTTAGTGGATTTGTGTGCATTTATGTCTGTGTAGATAATGTTAGTGTGAGCATGAGACGGGCACCGTTCAAGGTAAATTCGTGTGTAAATTCACATGCAGATCAAGGTCATGGCTGGGGAAGACAGATTCCTTTACCAACCACAAACCAGTGGTTTGCTTCCAAAAGGAAGATCTTTCAACCTTACACAAATCATTCTGGGGACTGACAGAAATACTGAAGTGCTAGGAAAAGTCTGTCTGAAAATTCCTCCAGGATGGACATACCCAGTTCAGAGCAGAGCAGTTTAATACACCAGGACGGTACTTGAGAACCCATTGAGTAAATGCTTCACTTTGAAAAGCAGTGACAACTTACTTTGTTTTAGCTGTACTTATTCATTGCAGGGGCCATGAGCTTTTGAAGCTCCCAAACAACAATTTTCAATCTGGATTTTTCCTAAACTGACCTTTTGCAGCCTCCTAAGCTTTTCCCTTCTGGATTCTGCAGGTGAAATGATTGTGCTGGTTGGTGCCCAGTAAGATTTCAGGGATTACTGGCTGGGCAGACAGAGTTGTGTGATTCCTGTGCTGCAGTTTTCCCAAACGCTCGAAGTAGGGCACTGTGTTCCAGAGGGAAGCGAGCGGAGCCGGGTGCCGGGAATGTGCCCACGGTGCTGCTCCAAGAAAAGGCAGATTAGGCAAGGCTTCCCTTCTACCTGGGTGAGATTTGTTTCGTTTGTGACTTGGCAGGGTAGGACACGGGAATTAACTGTTCTGGCCAGCCCTGCAGCCAGAGTCATTTCCCAAATTAAGCCTTGTAATTTCCCTGCCCTCCCAGCACAGCAGCTCGGGGGCTGGCTGGGCTTCCCGAGACCCAGATGTACTGCAAGTTCTCCTTAAAGAGGCTCGGGAATCCTGGAGTGCATTTGCAATGTAGAGCTTAAAGGGTGGATTAGGGCAGAGATGGCACTTGGCAGAGTCGAATAACCAAGGATTTGCTTATGTATGAGAAACTGAAAATGAATTATGCCTCTCATGCCCGAGACTGGACCTTCTGTTAGGCAGGCATCTCTCAAAAATGCACTTCCTCTGTGATTCACAGACATCCCTGAGCTGCAGGACACTGGGACTCAGAGCTTCTGACAGCAGGCTCTGAGTCCCTGGCTGCCGTGGCAGTGTCAGATCTGTCAGGTGAGCAGGAGTCCTCTGCAGGAGAGCTTGGCCTCAGGGACTGCTGCTCTCAGAGAGGTGAAAGCAAAGCAGCAGCTGGACCTCTCAGTCATGCAGCGAGGCTTTGGTAGCATAAGATAATTTTATCTTTCTGAACATTCCCATCCCATTGTATGTGCACAATGTATATGAAAGAGCTCGGGTCTCTCAGATCATTCTCATGCATTTGCTGCTGTGCTTTTCTTGCTTGTAATCCAAGAACTGTTTCAGAGAAGCATTTGGTATTGGAATATTCGCCTCTTAAATATTTGATTCTTGACTCCATCTTGTATGGAAGCTGCTTGTTCAGGAACCACTCCTCTGCTCTGGAAGTCACCATTATAACAGTGCTCTGTTCTGGAGCGTGGGCCAATTTTTGTGGGAATGCCACAGCAAAATGAATAGTGCAGTAAATTCAGTCAAAACACTCCAGGTTGAAATATTAAGCTACAGTAGATCCTAAATGTTTCTGTTACTTGGCTTCTTTGTATCTAAATTGGGACTGTTCCTGCCTCTTAATTCCTTTTTTCCCCTTCCTTGCATGTCTTGTTTCTCCTGCAGATGAATATTTGAAATACATGAACTGTGCACATGCATGTTCAGGCAGATAATGACACGGATGTGGTTTGTGTGTGGGGCAGAGAATGTAAACAAATATGTTTCATTAAATTACTGTGGGGTTCACAGGGATACATTTGGCCACATTTTGCCAGTCTTGTGCATACTGGTTTTTTTCCTGTTACAGTAACAGTAATACCATTACTGATAGTAAAAGAAGCAAAATCACAGCAAGTGTAACTCATCTTCTGTATGAGGGGTGCATTAATATTGTACAATCAGAATATGTAAATATGGGATCTAAAGGAGGATTGTGGAATGAGTGTTCTTTCAATTTGCTGGCTGGTTATATTGCTTGTTAGAGCTAAAAAGGGTTCCAAGAAGTGGCTTTTTGCTAACAATGTCTCCTGCCTCCTGATTTATTGCAGCAGCTCACTAAGTTTTTATCATGGAGCTCTGAATGCTTGGCTTTGTAGTGGCCTCTGGAATCAGCCACAAATCAAACATTTGGCAGATGGATTTTTCTTAATTGGACCCACATTTCTCCTACAAAATTTGTGATGGAGAAAATTTCTGGGTTGGCCATGGAGCACAGGGCATAGAGCCAGAGAAGGGAGAGAAGGTTGTTGTGCTGCAGTTGTTAATTATTGGTGGGGATGTATTGCTGGTGATTTTCTGGTAGTGGCAAAGGTGATTTTATACCAGCACTGAGAGGGCAGGGCCACAGTAACACTGTGTGGACAAGTGCATTCAGATTGCCTTGATTTGCTGAAAAATGGGTACTCTGTGTCCTGATGGAATCCCTGAACTGATCATTGCTGGAGACACCTTTCCTCAGTGCACCTAGAATCCATTTAATGCTACTCTGGAGTACCAACATTTGTGATTATTTTGCAAGGTTTTTGGTTTTGTTTTTTATAATTCCAGGAGATAACATTCTATTTAGGCTTTTATTGGCACTACAAAAGCCTGAGCATATGGTTGATTGTTAAATGAGCCTCAGCCTTGGAAGGGGTACAGCCCTGCATTAATAACAGCAGCAACTTGCACTACTGAGACTTCCTCTTAAACTCCTTTTTGTCTTTAGCCCATCCAAAATTTTGACTTCTAATCCCCAGAGGGAAGAGGAATTATACAAGTCATACTGCAACACATTTAGTTTCTACTCTGGTGCCCATGCTGTCTGTTGTAGGAGCTTTCCATGTGCACAGAGCTTATTTTGGTGCACCAGGAGCTGATGCTGCTCCTGCAGCAAACTTAGTTTGGGAGTTCTTGGAGATCTAATTTGTTTATTCCCAACAAACCTGATATGCCAAACATTTTTAAGCAGGATGAAATTGGTTAAGTTTGCTGAGAATCTGGTGAGTGCTGCATGGTGAAAGATGGAGTTGCTCTATTTCCTCTGGAAATGGAAAGAGGAATGACTCACCCTGCAGAAGTGGGGCACTGGCAGACCCCAGAACCACGGAGGGCTTTCAGATCTGTGTGAACAATGCTGGAGAGCTGCTGCCTCAGTGGTGTTATCCAGGGAAAGTGGCTGAGTAGGGAAACCCACAGCAGAGGGAACCCCCAGCAGGGTGGCACTGACAGCTACAGACAGCCAGGCTCTGGCTTTGGGTGTAATGAAAGTATTGAGGGAACACTGTGCAGTTTGTGTGGTGAAACCATCCAGCCCCAAACCAGATGTTTTATTCTGAAATGCAGAATAAAACATCTTGCACAGCCAGGCACATCCAGCAGTGCCTCGTGTGACACTCCATGTCATTCATGCCGGGGGTGGTGCCTGTCCCCACTCCCCCCACGTCAGGGAACAGATTTCAGCAGAAAAATCAAGATTCAAGGGCAGTCTCAGAATTCAGACTGGCCTTATGCAGTACCTGCTTTTATACCAAGGCTGCTTTGTCCTGGAATAAGCAAATCAGCCTTTTAATGGGGTTCCTTTGCAAAATATTTCTTGAACCAGAAAGTTAATTACTGATCTCTAATTAGTGGCTGTATTAAGAGGCTGGAGTAAAATCAGAGAGAGCTGCTTTGAAGGAGAGATGCAGGAAGAAATTACCATTTCTCTTCATAAACTGTGATGTTCCTCATCTTCTTCTCATGATATCAGGAAGTTTAGACATTTTAAAAAGGAGAATGTTGTTAATGGAAAGAGGGTGTTTTGAAGGGACTTTTCTGGAAGGCATTGAAAGAATCATAATAACTCCAAGGGAGACAGAGATGGATTGAAAGCAATGTGGGGCCTTTCAGCTTCTCCCAAGGCAGCAGCAAGGTCCCAACTGTTCCTCCTGTAAATTTGACTTTTGCAGATACCTGTGAACTTGTATCAGAGTCTGCCTGAGGTAGATGCATTCCCATTCTCAAGGGATACAGAAGCACTTGCCTTTATCCTTTAACCCAAACCAGCTTCCTGAAACAGGGGGTCATGCCTAAAGCTTTCACTAAAGACTGCATTAGCTCCTGGTAATTCTTCAAGTCATAATAAACGTCATGGGAAGGGCTAAGAGGCTGGAATGATTTTCATAGAATCATGGCAGAATTCTCACAGGCTTTTCCCCAGTTCTGCT